ACTTCTATTCAGGGCCATATCTCTCAATGTCTCTAACCAATAACAATCCCCATACCTTGGTCCCCAACCTGGAAGTCGGACTGCACCAACCGAAGCTAAAGCCGGCTTCTTCACATCTCTACGCCATGTCGTAGTCTGACCACCACGGCGCTTCTTATAGCCTTGCCGGCACGTGCGAGGAGAGCACGGAAAAGGATTTGATGGGCAGGCATATGCAACACGTGATAAAGCCATCGGAGGCGATGCAGAGCGATTACTTCTGTTAGAGAGCGACTATCCACACCCAACATACAACATCTCACCTCGTCATTGCTCATCTGATTTTACCACCAGACACGAGCAATGCTTCGGAGACATCGGTGGTCCAATACAGAACGTCGATTAGCATATTCCACCCGGAGAGGCCAGGTCCCGTAACCATAAAGTAGAACTCTGTGAGCCGCGGCAATGTACACCCTTCCCTTAAGGGGCAGCCGGATGTCATAGCGGCGCCGCACGTGTCGCAGTTTGACGAAAGCTGCTCTAGCCTTCGAATTAACAAAATGTTTTAACGGCTCGTGGTTGCACAGTATCAAAAATCAATATATTTATCGAACTTGTGCTGATTGAAATCGGGGAGTGTTGTTTGCGCATAACTAATATTGTTTGAATTGTTCGTTTTTAAACCTTCTAAAACCGGTAAGTTTCTATATTTCCATTTTTAACATTCATTTTCGATTGAAACTCAGGTGTGCTCACCTCACTGTGTAAATAGCCATCGGTATCGAACTGCCAACGTTGCCACGGGTTTCCGTCGTCTTGTGGGACAAGACCCACTCTAAAACACTCGACAAGTTTTGGCCCCGATTCGGCAACACTTTTTTGGAGATTGTCTTGTGGAATCATGCCGCGTATTGTGCCACCGTTCGAAATAATCCCAAGTACAAGGCTACACACGGAAGGTTTGGGTCGAATATAACCAGATTTCGATAGTTGCCATAGTCCAGTACGATTTGCTTCTGCGGTGGAACGTTTTGAGTCGACCATAGCCAAGGGAAGTAGAACCGTATCGAACTCTGTCTATAATAGTGAATTCCCAGAAGTAAATGTTACTTAGATTTAGCGAATAGAAAGATAAGTTTAATGGAACAAAAACTCAACTAAATCACAGACAGATCTATTCTGATACACACTACATCCCACCGAGACCACTGAACTTTGCACAATTTCCACATAAGAATTCAATCTGCCAAACAATTATTTGAACAATTAACCATTCTGAGAAGTTCTTTCGGGGGACTCCGGGTTATTCTAAAGAAACACTGTCTTGGCAGTCGGTTTACATGCTAACTGGTGGATGTTATATGCTTCTGTAAGTTGGATGTGTGATTTGAATGTGAAAAGATCAGTGCTATCGATGTGACCTCGTAGCTCAGTTGGTAGATCCTGCACTGTACAAAAGCTTAGGTGGCGTCCACGTGTGGGTTTGAATCTCACTAAGGCTACTGAACTTTTCTCAATTTCAACATGACTTCAATCTGCCAATTAATCATTTGAATAAAGATATCTGAATTTAATGTAAAGCCTCAACACAAGACTGTCACTTTAACGGGATCACATTTCAATTAATTCCATGCAACTAAACATATTCCCATATTTTAAACAGATCACAATGCTCTTTCACTTAAGAGCACAGTAAAACACAGAGAAAATGCTCAGAGCAGTCTCTATTATGCATTTTATAAGATCATTGAAAAACTGGTAAAACTTACCACATTTTGCAGTAATACAAACTGATCCAACGGGCCTTTTCCAGAGTTCGCTGCAGGTGAGTCGGACGACGAAATTGGATTCGGGAAACGGTCACATGGCTGATTGTTTGCCGTTAGTCCATACTGGTCTCGATATACCAGCTGCATGTCATCCTCATCAGATGCCGACTGAATTGTTTTCCAGCTGGAGGATCTAGTTTGGGGATTACCGACGTAGAATAGGAAATGGTGTGAATAAAGGAGATGAGGCCTGTAACATCATTTGCTTCGACAATGTAACTAATTAATGACCGAGTACACCGAAATCACGTCTGAAACCAAATCATGGATGCAATGTGGAGACGTGTGCCAGGCCGGGTGATTCAATGGTGTGACTTTCGGCTTCCAATATCACATTCGGGGTGACCGTTTGTAGTGATCCAGGTCTACGAGATGACGCCTACCCTGGAGCGGCGAGCTACAGTTTTGGGACACCTGCGATCAATCAAATGTCAAAGGTGATGTCAATAACGCGCGTACGTATCACTGCTTCTGACTACACACCACAGGCAAATCGTGTCAGCCAATCCGATACAGTGTAGTCCAGACAGAAGTAGAATGATGCAAACAATACTGGAATGCGATTGGTGGAAGGCTGGAGATAACCAATGATCGTTTTTTGTACATGTTATTTATTCACCCTCATTTCTTCCAATAAATGAACCAACATTGCTGTGGCGTTTTCCTGGCATCTCAGTTATATGGGACATTGCGTGTTAGTGCCATTGCGGTCCAGTGCTTCCGTGATCCAGTCCGTGATAGCTGATCCTTGATTTGTGTTCCGTGATACGTATTGCGTGGTTCGTGTTCCGAATTCCATGCATATTACTACTACTACTACTACTACTACTAC